ACAATGAAGAGCTCAACCGTTACATCGGAGGCGCCTTTTACAAGGGCGTCCTTTGGAGGAATTACTCGGCTAAAATTCCTTGTATGGCATCGGCGGTAAAAGTTATATACATAGAGAGAGATTGAGAGAGAGGGAGAGAGAGAGAGAGAGAGAGAGAGAGAGAGAGAGAGAGAGAGAGAAAGCGGAGTTTGTTAGTTTGTGTGTGTTTGTATGTGTGTGTGTGTGTGTGTGTGTGTGTGTGTGTGTGTGTGTGTGTGTGTGTGTGTGTGTGTGTGTGTGTGTGTGTGTGTACAAAAATGAGAGATTTTTTGGTCTCCTTATTCCATCAGATTTAAAAGAGAAAAACAGTAATGTCGGACTCGGAGCTCAAGCTTTTCTATTCCAACGCCAAAGGGCGGGCGGAACTAATTAGACTGGTGCTGGCAGCGGCGGGAAAACAGTTTAATGACGTCAGGTTTGCCAGGGAGGAATGGCCGAAGTATAAGGTCGGTGAGTAGAAAAATAAAGAAGCTGCCATATCTAGACTTGCTTCTTTTAAAATCAATGTGTGTCTAATGAGTTGTCTTTTCCTAATCAGCAACTGCCTGTATTTGTTTGTTTGTCTGTTTGTTTGTGTGTTTGTTTGTTTGTTTGTTTGTGTGTGTTTGTGTGTGTTTGTGTGGGGGTTTTTTGTTTTTTTCTTTATTTGTTTGTTTTTCTTGGCTATTTTTTCTTTTCTTTTCTCTTTACTTAGATTTTGTTTTGGAAGCGATATTTTCTCAATCCTCTAAAACAATCGAAGATCTTGGCTTTTCTCTCTTTTGTTTAGAAATTGCTTTTACGGTTTTCAATACATAATTATATGGGTTTCTTTAAAAAAACTAAACAATTATGCAAAATAAGTAGTTCATCAGGAATGAAAAGGTGTCTCCGTTAAAGTTCAACTGTTATACGTGGGCAATTTGTTGAAAACTGTGTGAGAATGTCTGTGTTTTTTCCAACAGCAATATACCATGATCATTATTGTGGTTATCAGTCTCAGAACTACTGAGATATTTTGTCTCTTGCCCCAAAATAACACGCCAAGAGTGTCCACACACAAAAACACCGTGCCAACGACATAATTTGAGCCGGAGCTCATTACATATTACTGAAAGGCTGTTGGAGCTGTTATATCTAAATAACTGAACATTGTTGAGTGTTGAGGAGTTTAAATTTCTGGCAAAAGTAAGCTACAATGTATTTCTTATTTTAAAGTTCCGAAAGTGGTTCCCAAATCCCGGGGTAATGTAGAAAATAGAGATTCGCTGTCTTTCTGTAAATGTTTTGTGGTTTCTTTTTTAAAAACTAACGTCCTCTTCTCACATTAACATTTGTCAACACTTAATACTGATCCGCTTTGTAGAGTAGTTATTTAGTTTAAATCCCATCGTACTTTTATCCCTTATAGTAAAACGCTACTAAGCAACGCAATTCTTACGAAAGAATTATTCCATTATTCCTGTGTTCATTTTACTTTTATCTTTTACTTAAGAAACACTTGAAAAGAAATTATCTCATAATTCAAATTCACTTACTGGTTAGTTTTTACTCCCTCTGCTTTGAAGACCTACACTTAATCAAGGTGATGAGTTTTGATTTTTGATAATTTTTTTCTTTTTGGTGTTGTCGAATCTGCTTGTATCTCGAAAACAAACCATTGAATCAATTTCAGCAAAATCTCTCATTATCCTGACCATTTTCCTCAATTCATTTTTCTTTGACATGCGATTTTCCGATTGTTATGTTCCAATGCACTCCACTGAAAGACACAAGATTAATTTGCCAATGTCCGTTTTCTGAAGATTCTGGTAGAGCAGCTAAAGGGCACACTCAGTAACTTATTAATTTGTCAGAAACAAAAACCACCTTCAGTTATTTTTAGCGATCGTTCCCTTTCGACAAAGTTGAAGGAATGTCTCCTTTTGAATCAGTCTTTCTTGAAGATTGATCATTCTATTAAGATTTGCAAATCACATTTTCAGTAAAGCACCTTCTTTAAACATGAAGTTTTCATAGAAGTTTGTGAGTTTGCTATACCAAGTAATTTATTCATTTCATATCTTGACATGGTTCAATTATGGATTTCCATTTCCTTTTTCAGATGCCCCGTTCGGACAGATGCCATACATGGAAATTGATGGAAAATTTTACAGCCAGTCCATTGCTCTGGCGACCTACTTTGCCAGGGAATATGGTGAGACAAAATTTTGAACAACCCACAAAGCGACAAAAATGTTTATCTATTCAGTTAATCTCTGACACCTGTCAGTGGGATTGTCCTTTCCGGTTTTGCTCACTATGTCTTCCATCCTGATTCCTGTCAGCTGAACACCACAGATTGAGGACAGCCACAGGAAAGACCTAAATAGACCTAAATGTGGAAACCTGTAAAGTTTTGACCCCCTACCCTTCCTCCACGCTCACACATAAACACACACTCACACACACACACACACACACACACACACACACACACACG